AGTCGTGTTGACGCGGGAGCAGCGGTCGTACACCATTGGGCTACGCTCAGACGGGCGGATGACGGCGGCAGTGTGAAACACTGTCAGAGGGAGCTGAGCGACAGACTCAGGCCAAGGCCTTGCAAATGCAGCAGAGGTTGCTGACTCTGAGGATATGTCAGCCTGGGCGAAATCGACCTGCGACACGGGGCCTTCGCTCATATCATCGCGTAAGGGCTTGCGGAAGTCGATGATACGGATCGCCTCGGGGGGGTGACCGCGCGCAATCAGCTGAATCGCAAGTTGTCCTCCAACCAAGCCTGTGACAAAGACGGTCAGCGCAATCAGATTGGTATCATCAAAGGGGCCATCGTACCAGCTCCGCCAACAATAACATAGCGTCTGTCCAGCTTTGGGGGTAAGTGTGGTGTCCAGTCGATGGGCTGCTTCTCCATGCGTTCGAAGACGCGCTTAACTCGGTCTGGCGTCCATCGATCCGGCGACACCCGCTGAGCCTCAGGCGGGGTATTCGACATGGCCCAATTGATCCTCCAGAGGTACAGCACCGCGGCCGCCACTAGGCCGAAGACGAGTTTGGCAGTCCATGATTCCAGCATCATGGGCTAGTTAGTGTTGGGCGCCGCCGGTTGACCGTTGCTTGCTCTAAGGTTCTGCCCCTCGTGGAGTTGTTGCTCTTTTCGTACACTAACGGCGGCTTCCAGACAAAGAAGATTTCCGGATATAATGGCGCAAGAAGCTTGTTTTTCATGACGCAACGCTAATGAGGGGGGCGGCGGGAGCTTTTTAATGCCAGGTGCCTCTCGAGACCGAGCTCCCCTCGCCGGTCGCACCTGCTTCCCGAGCCGATCAATGCGCTAAACATTTGGAGTCCTCGAGCCCCCACCACTCCGGTCCTTGCGCAAATATCAAATCGCTCCTCCAGGACTGCGAGTCGAGTCCTCCTCCGGCGGTGAGAACCGAGGTCCCACTGCTCCGCTCCGATATCACCAAAGACAGCGCGCAGAGAAGCCGTCCATCGAAAGACGCCATTCACCAAGCCCTTGCAGGCAGAATTTAAACGAGGGCTGCACTGCTCTTATTCGTATCCCTCGGGTCGATCAGTGTAACCTGCACCGACTTACGCACCTCCAACGGCCTGGCACTCTTCGACGCGTGACCGGTGCGACCCGAAACCGATTTGTGGTGGGGTCCGCGGCCGTCACTCCCGCGTGGTTTGCTTGTGCGGAGAGCTCTTCGCTCGTGATGTGACGTTCTGATTGGGCGCGCACGCAGCTCTCACCCCCGGCAGCTCCCCCGCACATGCCCCGTGTGCTACACGAGACCTGCAGCACGCGGTGCGGTGGGTGGCTTCAATGTCAGAACCTTATGACGACAAGATCCCCAGGGCACGTCCGTAAGCAGTAAGCACCTGCTCATTGGCTGTGCGAAGCCGTGTGGCAGATCGACTGAGCGTTTTTCTGAGCCGCAACTGGGCGACGACCGTCCTTGGGTCAGTCCTTCCGTCAAAGATGCTGATACCGCTCGTGCCATAATTAGACCTTGCGTAACAACCCTGCTTCCAGTCATGTCCGAAGATTGGGCGGTATAAAAACAGTCGAAGCCCCAGGGAGTGTGCTTCTACAAACAATCGCATCTGAAGCAAAACGGTGCCTAAAAACGTGGACCCAGAACACAGGTTATACTCAAACCTTACGAATTAGGCGGGAAACTGTGGTGTCTTCCTGTCGTCGATCCCACATCAACGGAATATTATGGTTCAACACCCGCCAATACCTGCCAAGAGACAGACCATCCCGGAGGGCATAGACAACTTGATGATGTCTTGGTGCTGACGAACCTGACGGACTACCCAACCTCTGTGAACCAGGAAAGCCTTATCACATGGCGGCGAATCACGTTGGACTGTCCCTCCAATCACTCTAATGATGATTTTGAACCATTGTCTGGCGATTGTGATACTGCTTGCTACCCCTTGTTATACTTATCATTCCGAAATGTCTGCTGCGAGTCGTCACTCCTTAGATGAGTTCGACGTTTAGATGCAGTCTGCTGAAGAGTATAAGTATAGCTGTAGATTGCCCGTTCAGCAACACGCGCAGGCAACCGCGAAGGATTTTCCTTATCTTTAAATAATCTCGATCTGTACTAAGCCTATCGCATTCGCCAAGGCCGGTCGTTGCGCTTCCTTCGCAAGGCCGCCGTAGCGGAAAATTTGGGAGATGCCGCACTCGTCGTCCATCGGCTCTGGAGGTTGGATCTCCGGGTCTATGCTTCTTGACCCTAAAAATAAAATTTGGATGTTGTCCTGTTATGTTAGCCCCAGGATGTCACCAGCATGGTCACTGGAGACTGGCATTGTTGAGCTAGCGGTTTCTATCGAAGGTATGCAGTGCTTTGTAATTTGGTCGTGGTTTTGACCGACTCATTCTGCTCAATTAAATCAAAATTTTCATTTTCGCCCCCTTATATACAACGAGAACTTGTGTCCGCTTTGAGGCCAACGCAGAGCGCGATACTTGGGCTGCAAGCCTACGATAGAATGTTACTCGTCAGCACTCGTTGCCTGAGGATTATAAAAAGGCTACATGCCCACTCGACATTTTCTTTTCCTCGCAAGTAATCTGACTTGTGCAGTTAAAAAGCCGAACGCGTCGAATGGCCAAGGCAGCCCTCTGGGTGCTTCGTCACGAATCCTCGAGTTTCCCGCAGTATTGGCCTGCTTGTGGTATCGGCCATCTCTGGTTCTAGGAAGCTATTCAGTCATTCTTAACGCTGTTAAGCAGCAGCAGAAACCTGACCCCAAGAGTATCAGAAAGTCATGGGCATCAGGAACGTACGGTGTACCACAGACGAAATTAGTCCTTGCGGCAACCCAATAAGAGGCGGAAATTTTAGTTTGGCGGTTCGATCAAATCTTAGAAAGACAAGCTTAAAGTTAACTTATGCATCATAGGCTATCAGGGCATAGCTATCTATGACCTTGCTTCATAGCTCGACGGACGAGGCCACGAAAGACGGGTGGTGCCTATATATTGCCGACGAGTCTTAGGAGGAGAGTGCTCACCAATCGCTTCCGAGCCTTCACTTTTTTATTCTCAGCAGGAAGACTATGGTGAGTGGCTCATACCTGTCGTCGTGTCTTTCTCGGAGGCGAATCAAAGAGCAAGTCATCCATACGACTTCATGGGCCCTTGCCTCTGATTTTGTCTGATGATTTGCCCCGCAGCTCTCGTGGACGTCAAAGAGATGACGCTGTAATGTAATTGAGTTGAGAAATCTCGTGCTCTACAATTATTTAGGATCAGATGACTGCTTACCACTTCATTCCTCGACTTCTGTCCTTTCAATAACACAGTCAACTGGCTAAAGTCTGGGCTACTTATAAGACTTTCGGGCTATCATAAATCATAAAAAGTCAGACTTCTCTCAATTTCGTCATTCAACGCGCAATGGTCCGGGGGTATCAGGTTCTATGTCTCACTTGATTCTGAACTGCCTAAGAGGCTTAGAAAGTTCAGTGAGATGAAAGTCCCTAACTAGAAACCTCTCAAGGTAGTCTCAAATGGAATGTCTCCAGACTCTGCCTCTGGGTGAGTATTCGCTGACAATCGGTCGATGCCAGGTGAACTTCCCACATGACTCTCATCGTTATCGAACGACCATCACTAAGTACCGATCGTAAGCCTCTAATTACCAAACTATGATCGACTCCCAGCTGTCATCTAAGCGAGACTATGTGTGAACGCCTGACATTCGTCAAGTGAAAATTTGACAGTGATATACTCCTCACGAACATCAGCAGCCATTGCTCTTCCAGCTTGCCATATTATAAGCCACTCTTGAACAAATTGTCGCGATCATGGAAATGAGCTTACGAAATAAGGTGTGTCTAGCTGTGCAGCTTACAAAAAGAGTATCTAGACGGTGCTTCTAAGGCTTCTGGTTTTCCTCTTAAGAATGGGTAGTAAAGACTGGTCCTAGAACTTAGCTGCACTCAGCCTGTGGATATGTGCAGCCAAATCATGGCAAATAGGGCGTCCCGATAGCTGAAAGCAATTGTATGTCCTGCTTGGCCTTGGCTGTCTGCTCTACGATGTCATTCATTGTCGATTCCGGGTTTATTCAAATAATGAAAAAAAAGACCGACTAATCACTTTCTGACATTGGAATTGGCTTCTGACACGATCGTTTGTTTTGAGGCTTTTTCGCTGCCGATCAAGTCGCTCATCGCGATATTGTTGTGTGAGAAATGTTTCCGCACAAGACAAAATCGACATTTCAAGGCGTCAGGGAAGTTTTCTGGAAAGAAAAAGTGGCTACAGAGCCGTCAACAAGTTGTTGCGGGTTTGATAAGCTCAGAAATGTTGGATGCGAATCGCACGTCGGCCGTTGTTCATCATTAATAAGACAGCCGCTTGGCTTGAAGAAGCCTGGCGACAGAAGACAAATACTATCCTCAGATGGCTGGTCACCAAGGCGGTAGGACGGGGATTTCAGCAGTTCAAACCCTATTTTATCTTTTGCCCCTAGCGCTCGAAAGGTAATCAGCCGTAGGGCCTTGATATCACAACTGCAGAGAACTGCTCGATCTCTCAAAAGCTTGGCCGTGTTGAGTTTGAAAGGAGAGATTTCAGAAGAGTCACGTTTTCGGGGCTTTGATTTGAGTCTCAAAGCTCTCAAAGACTTCATCGCCTGTTTCAATGAAAAATTCATAAGCCTTATGCTTTGATATACCTAGACTATTATTGACGCCCTTTGATTCAATTCCAGCTTCGTCTTATCTTATAAATAAGCGCACCGTGATTTGGAGGTGTTGTCGACCACACACAGCCACGGACATTGACCAGGCTTCAAGAGTCAGTAAGGTGATTTGATCCCTTTCAAATAGGCTGATGGTTCATCTTACTGTTAGCGACAAATTCATGATGAAATGGAGCCGGGATAAATGCCATGGGAATCCCGAGGATTGTGCCAGTTTGGTGTATACTCCGTGGGTGCAACTACGGCCTCACGATATCTCGTCCACCTAGCCAGACGAATATCCAGCTGATCATGATCATGATTTTCCTCCTCCAGCTTCTCGTCCAACCCAAACTCCCAGATCTCCAAGCCAGCCAAGCACTCATTCCAGTCCATTCCTGTCGCCCTCCAATGATACCATCGTGGCGTCCCAAGTATGCCAGCAGAACCCTCTGCTTGTAACCAAACGGTTTCACATCTTCTTCCCTTCCGTTCAATGTCGTGGTGAGATATTCTCCCTTCTGCAATGCCACCTCAGCTAGCGTGGGCAGTGACACCCCATCAATGTCTGCTGCATCACCCAACGCGTACACATCCTTCATTGGGCTCCCATCAGGCCGCAAAACCCTCAAGTACTTGTCCGTCAGTATCCTCGGTAGTCCGTGTTCGGGCTTCTTGACATCCAGCTTCTGCACCAGCGAGCTTGCCTTGTTCCCTGTAGCCCAAATGATCAGGCCTGAAGGCAACCTCCCATCCTCTTTCGTGATGATCCCATCAGGCTCCACCGACGAAATGTGCGAGCAAGTCTTGAGCGCAACTTGTTTCCCCTCCAAACTCTGTGTCGCGTACTCGCTCAATCTGGCATCGAATGTCGACAAAATCGAAGGCGCGACATCATGGATCGTGATCGTCAACTTTCCATCCAACTGGGGGAACAAGAACCTCATCTCCTCAAACCACAGATCCCACAACTCCGCCGCAGCCTCGATACCAATCGCCCCGCCGCCCACAATCCTGATGCTCAAAAGATCTCTCTGCTCCTGCTCCGTCGTCGTCGGCAGCGACGCCTTATCCATAATCTCCAAAATTCTCTGCTGAATCAAACGCGCATCGTTCGTCGTCTTCAGAAAGAAAGCATGCTTGCTCGCACCGGGCGTCCCAAAGTCCTGAATATCGCACCCCGGCGCGATGCACAGCTTGTCGTACTCAACGTCAAAGAACTCGGGCTCCTCGTCGTCGCCCTTGATGTGCGTGTCGGACTTGCACCGGATGACCCGCTTCTCAAAGTCGATGTCCTCGGCGAAGGCCTTGTAGTAGCTCATGTCCGTACGGCTTTTTCGGCGGACGGGCTCCTCCGCCATGCGGAAGTTGAAGAGGCCGCATGCTGCGCTGGCAAGGAGCGGGGTGTACTGGATCGTGCGGATGGGCGAGATCACCTTGACGGTGTATTTTGACAGGTCAATCTTCTGGGTCAGGGTGAAGCCGCCCCAGCCGGAGCCGATGACGGCGAGAACAGGCTTCTTCGAGTCGACCATTTTCGTGCTGTATGTTGAGATTGCCCTTTTCACAATAAAATGGCTTTGTCCGGCCACCCGCCTACTTATGTTTCCCCCTCATTCTTAGCGGGCGAAGGTTCAGCATCGCAAGCTTGACGTCACGCGTTTTACGGTTTTGCGATAGTTCCTGGCAAATGTGGTGATCGGCTGCGGAGTAGCTATTTCACTTTCGGGACGTCATCGACTTTCGGGAAATGGAGATGTTACATTTCAGGCAGTTTAGCTAACGATTTAGGCGCTTTGATTGGTCGCAGCTGGTTGTCAGCTTGTAGATGGCAGATGCCGGGAGATCTCCGTGGCTGAATACCGAGATCCAGAATTGACGAGAATCCGATTTATGGAGAACACGGAAATCCGGCATACGAACTTCTGCCTCTTTCACAAAAAAGCGCCCCCAAACAATTGGTCTTGAAAATACACTTGCGGGGTGCATGGGAGCTAGATCTTGGCAAAGGCAATTCTTCATTGAAACCATCATTAGCACCGCCAACATGGTGATACCTAGTCTACTAAAACGATACGTACATATATACAAAGCCAACGCTTACAGGCCCTCGGGAGCCTGGGCATATTTCCTCCAAACAGGATCATTCAAAAGCCTCTCCATTGCCTCATGCTCGACACCTACAAAAACCTCAATGCCGCCCTTCTTCGGGTCCGGCAGCACAATCTGCATCGTGTGCGTTACACCTACAGATGGCGGGCGGACAGCCAGGATCTTCTCACCGAACGCAGAGCCCCATTCGATATCGTAGAAAGGGAACTCGCGCCATGATGACTGCAGCATATGGTTACCAGGCATGTCAAGGAACATGGTCGGCGCAAGCCTAGTCACGTCTTGGAGCCTCTCAACCAGCGCATTGAGACTGTCAAGGTAGACATCCTCGGTCTTGGCTACAGCACGGCGGACGCAGATGGCCAGGTCCGCGAGTGTTGCTTCGCTTTCCAGAGACACGACCTCACGAACATCGAGAACGGCCGGTGCGAAGCCAAGGATGTTGCCGATGGTGTGCTTGTGCACCGGCACGCCCGCTCTCCGGCGCGCATCGAGAGCGATGCCCATCACGGAAGGTGAAGGGGTCGGGTCTTCGGAGACGAGGCGGATCTTGGTGCTGTGCTGTGCCGACATTGTCGCGCGCCAGATAAGCGCCGACAGAGCGTCGTTGGTGGTGATGTACTCTGGAATGCCTTCTCGACCCCTGAAGAGCTTGGCGTTGGCAGGGGATGCATCGGCCTTGAGGGCAGCCAGGGCAGAGGGAGAGAAGTACCAGATGTGGCCATGGTGGATGTCTGAGGCGAGCTTGGGTGGCACACCAGGGGGAGTGAAAGGAAGCTCGATGTATTCTGCATGGTCTTCCGGGCGGCCGGGCTGGGCGCCGGTGGACTTCATCACCTTGACTCTGTCCTCTACGGGGACCTCGGCCGGGCGGGTAATTGGGATGCCTTGCAGGCGTCGGACTTCCTCAGCGAGGAGCTCGGTGAACTTGTAGGCCGTCGTGCCGTCTGCGTAGGCGTGTAGGAAGAGCATGTTGAGAAGGAGACCTCCCTTGATGAAGTTGGCTTGCATCCATGTGACGTTCAGCCTGTCACCAGCCTGAGGCCATTCGCCACCCAATCCACGACGGCAGACCTTCTCGGGGAGGAGTGCCGAAGAAGGGAACCCGCGGGCCTTGAGCTCAGCGAAGGTAGGGAAGGTCTCATCGCCACGGAGGTCCTTAGCAAGGAAGTCCTCAATCTCGTCACCATAGTGGCGGAGCTTGAGGAGACCTGCTTGCTTTGAGTCCTCCAGGGGCACGACCTCGCAGCCGGCGATGGGGACACGATCCTTCATTGCCTTGTAGGCAGTCTTCAGAATGTGTGTAAGGTGGTCGGCATCATAGTTATCGGGCAGCTCAAAGTGATAGATACAGCGAATCCATCCTTTGGGGCCGATCTGCTCGACGGGAAGAAGGGGAGGGGCAAGGTCGAGATTCGTTTCAGTCGGCGAGGGGATTTCCGTGGCTGTTGTGACGGAGACAGTCTTCTCAGGCAGAGGCCCAGCATCAGTCACCAGACTAGGCTCAGTCAATGCCGGCGTCATCTTGAGAAGTTGAGAAAGAATTCAAAATTGAAACGAAGATGAAATGTCTATTAGACCCGAGCGTAGAGTATGGTCGATACCAGGCAGTTTGGACGTCTTTGGAGAGCATGGGATGATGGGCTTTTGAAGAAGTGAGCTCTCGTCGCTGGTCTATCATCTCAACTGGAACTTCGATCCCCAAGGAGCTTTCCGTCGCTCGTATGATAGTTTCTGCCGACCTGGTCGCGATTCTGCAGCTCGGGTGGCGTAGTACATGCAGTTCAGGGGAACCAACAAGATCTTCAGGCCCGGCCAGATTGCAGCGTCTCAATCGCTGCACTCTAGTTGAAATGTGATTACAGGCTGCACGTATTCGCTATCCCGAACAGGCAAATGCCTCGTTCCTCCGTTGTTTGCTCATTACGAAATGGGACTCCATGTCGATCGACCTTCGAGGATGACAGTCTGGTCGCGATATCCCTTGACAAGGGCTCGGGTTTTCGGGCTTTGAGAGCGTGATTCACATGGCAGCGAGCCTGAACCGGCTTGTCGAAGATGACTTCTGGATATCTAGACCGTTGCTAGCGCAATTGGGCCTGTCGATGCTTGCGAATTCACTCTCTTAAACGTAATGATAAGTGGAGTTTTCGCAGCTCGACACTTGTCGGTCGCATGGTAGGTGTGTTGGGCCTGTTGGTGGTGAGTGCGAGTTGCTCTCCGGCTTCCCGCCGTGCCGAGACGCAAGGGCCCCGGCATCGAGCAGACCGTTACAAGAAGGTGCTGACCATACCGGGAGGCTTGCAGATGGGTGCCGCGGAAGCTTCCTAGGGCGCATATTCGCCTCGGCGAGTTTCTGAAAACTCGGACTTCTTGCCTGTTACGATGCGCTAAAGGAGACAATGCACTCTTCAGGCGAGCGTTGGATGATATGTGGACCCTGGAAATGCCTGGTAATAAGACGTTGGGGCTGTTGGTTCTTCGCCGTTGAAATCGGCTGACGCGATTGGGTCGCTTTCTCGTGGATGGCCTGAAAGGAACTCCATCGAGACAAGTGGAGAATACTTGCACAGACAGCCGCATCCTTCCCGCTGGAAGATGAAGGTGGCTCTCATCCAGGCTCGGGTTCTCGCGGATATCCCGAGTTCTGTGGGAACAGCCTCAGACAGGAAAGAGTGACAGTTTGCTACCGCTGGAAAGGTGGGAATCCGAGAACCTACCAACACGAAGAAGGCATGATCGTCTTCACGGGAAGAAGACTTGTTCGGATACTGACCCAACAAGGCCCCGGGTCTACGACCAACTGCTCAGTCAATCATTCTACTTATCTAACAAATTTCTCCGACAACGACCAGGTCGTCTCGGCCTCCAAGGGCTAATCGGTGTCCGAGACTTGGGTATCGTCATGTGCATGCGGCACAGCTGAAGATCTTTCTATCTTATTGCAGAATCGTACTACTGTTGGATGTTTGCCAACGGATTTTTCTCTCCGCTACCCTTGCGAACGCGAAGCAAACATATACGCAAGTGCTAGCCCCCTGGTCTAGCGCCAACATGTCTTGCAAAAGTCCTTGAGACAACCGAGGCAATTGAAGACTTTTGTGAAGTAACTCAAGCAAGAGGCGACGCTGAAATGCAAGGTGGAATGAAAAGAATTATGTTGTGTCAATTCGGAGGCTCCGTGTCGATACAGCCAGCCACAATCATGGGGAAGCGCGGGTTGGCTTAAGAGCGACTCAGATCTTCGCTAAAACGTCGTGGTAAGCGGAGAGTTCTGGTTGGCTTCTTTCCCCTCTAGCATTCCGCCCAAATGTCATTGTGAAGCTCCCCTTTTCTCCCCGTCTTCCGTTTCTCCCTTGGCGAGGAGAACTTGCCACTCGACAAAACTCTTCACAGATCATATCAGCATGACCGTTGACCCAAATATCGTGGCTATCTTTGGAGAGGCGCCGGCGGGACTCGACCTAGATGAGCAAATCGTCACCTCTTACAACGTTGCGGTATGCATCGTTCTGGGCCTTGCGGCCGCATCAGTCGCCCTTCGCTTTTACGTGCGCTGCGTTAAGGGGTCGAAACTTTGGTACGATGATTGGGCAATCTTTCTTAGCGTTGTAAGTTGGACTTTGCAAATTGTGCCTGTTCTGAGAAATCCGGTGGAAGATATTGACCGCTTTTCCTCGTTATTTTAGTTCTTATGCGCAGCGACGACGTTTATGACCATCTTGGGTGAGTAGGCCAGATAACTCTGTTTCGTTCATGAGATCACACGACACAAGAACCATCTGACTTTCAAAGCCGGGAGCTATGGCGCCGGAGAACACGTCTGGTCGAGCAACATCTCGCGTTTCGTGACATTATTGAAGGTATGCTGGGGCAGGTTTTCTTTGTCATTCATTCATCATTCAGGTCACTGACATTGATCCCTGATCAGATCGTGTATGCCGAGCCCTACGTGTACGCAACCGCCGTCACCTCGACAAAAGTCAGCATCCTTCTTCTCTACCGTCGGATTTTTTATTCCAAGACTGGGCTAGGTCAAATATACTCGATAATGTTCTGGACCGCGACCTTCCTTACCAGTACATATCCATTCATTCTTTGGATTACAATGGCCTGTGCCTGTCGTCCGGTATCATTCTACTGGACTCAATATCTGGGGGAGAAGGGAAACTGCATCAATGTCAGCTTGTTCTTCCTTCTTCTAGGCATCGTCAACATGTTCAATGACATCGTCATATTGCTGGTACCCGTGCCTCGTATCTGGGGACTGCATATGAACAAGCGGACTAAGACTTCCATTATTGGTATCATGCTTCTGGGCGGCTTGTATGTTCTCCTCACTTCCAGCCCTTAATGATATGTATGCTGACAAGCGACTACAGTGTTTGCGTTGCAAGCGTCGTGCGTATTTACTATCTCAACGGCTTGTTCCAGAACATCGACGTCACCTGGTGGATGGGTCCCTCCTTTGCCTGGTCCAGCCTTGAGCCTTCCGTCGCCATCATCTCCGCTTGCTTACCAACATTCGCCCCGTTGTTTCGCATGGGTAGGAACAAGTCCTCAAAGAGTCCGTCCTATCCGTACGCAGGTGAACGTAGCGGTGGTATCTCAGGTAACGGGGGGCAACGTAGCCGCAGCGCTCACGGCAGTCAACTTGCAAGAGCAAATGTGGGGGGCTTTGGTCTGAGCCGAAGCCAGGCGGGTCATACAAGACTTGAGGATGATGAGGTCGAGCTGACTTGCAAGGTGACTTCTGGGGATACGGTATCAAGTCATGGTGCTGAGAGCAAGGGTAGCTCTGACTATGAGCGAGGGATTGTCGTCAGGACTCAGGTATCTGTAGTTTCACAGAAACAAGAAGGCAAGCATCATGAGAAATAGAACATTTGTCGGAGTTGAAACCATGAACCTGATGAAAGACATATTGCGAGTAACATGAAACTCAAAAGTTGAGTTTCGAAGCCATGCGGTATGATCTTGACTTGCCTTGATTGGGTAAAATGACTTGGAGCTTAACTTTCTCGCCGTGATATAGTGATTCTAGAAGCCATGAGTTCTTGTAAGCACACCAGACAAGAGGGTTCACTCATCACTTGTGTGCCTGCGGAAAGAAGCGCGGCTTCCAAAAGTCATACTTACGACGCTCCAAGGCTACGCGCCTACCAATAGGTTTGCGACACAACATGAAGGCTCACAGAGACCAACTAGAGTTAGGGGTCAAAAGATGGATTAACTGAAATCTGCCTACTCTATGCGATGTGTTACCTGCGCTCTATATATAGCCAAGCTGCTCCCTTTTTGTTCGAATCCCCTTGCTAGCTTCTTCCAGAAGAGTCCTGACGGCGGTTCGGAGAATTCGCTCTTATGAGCTGCTGTTATCTTCCTCTCTGGTCTTGAGACTGATTTTGTAGGAATTTCAAATAGCTCTCGATTGCAAAATGTGCAACCAAGAACACAATTTTGGAGGTCTCAACCGATGTGTCATCATGTACAGAGTCGCGGTGTCCATTTGGGGGCCGAAGTAATGCGACGCCGCCACCCCTGCTTGCAGTTGGTGGGAAACTTGGCATCTGTAACATCAGATCGACCAGGGGAATGACGTCGCACTCAATATTGAACATGGGAGTCGGCCTCCAGACTACGACATTCGATCGATGTACAGTAAACTCAAGGAATCAAGTTGCTTCAGAAGGGAGACTTGTTCACCGTGGTTTGGCGAGTTCTATCCAAGCTGCGATGTGTGTAAATGCTAGGATGTAATCTCGTGTGGAATGGTGGATATAGATCAATTGAAGCTGATTCACCTGGAGCGTTATGTTGCCTTGCTTGCCTGAATTTCGTCTCGTGAGCTATGCTTGCCGTCCCGTTTGAACAGGCCAAACAGACCAGGTGCCATAGTACCAGCTCTGAGCACAACATGAGTGCCAAGTTGACATTTAAATAATTTGCCTTGACCTCTGCTTCGAGTTGATGCTGATGAGGATCCACTCTTTTCAACAAGCAAGTCCGAAGACCTTACTCTCAAGAAAGGTTGTACCTCCCAAAGCAACCTCCTTCATGCGGACTAGCGTCAGAACATACTCCTTTCAACTTCAAAGTCCTTTTTCTCATCGGAAGCATTTCACATCCTTCAGCGACGTCGGAGACGCATGAACGGAAGCCGCGGGGGCGAAATTTAAGGAAGGTCACATCCTTAAGGCTGTGCTTAGTGGGTCATTCGAGGTTGGTAACCTGTCATCGGAAGGTCTTGAAAATTTGTCAGTCGCTAAAGTCTGGAACTCGGCCTTGGCAACCATAAACACTCTTATGTCCACTGCTATTGCCAGCATGTCATTCTTAAGTCAGCCCGGTCAAGCTCGATGGGCTTTTTGGGCCGTTCAAGTTGACCGCTCCGGCGCCACGCGTGCCTGCATATGGCCACGCAGGAGAAGGTTGCCGAGCAGCGGCCTGCAACAGACTGGGTAGAGCAAGATTTGACGACATGGCTCAGCTCGTTGGGAGTTCGATTACCCGGTCTGCTTGAATTCTGATTGATCACGGGCTCCGTCTTGCGCCGCATTTCTCCACGTAGCCATACTGATTCGGCGACGGTCCGAATATGAGGCATTTTTACGCGAGGCATTCGGGCAGTCAGCCAAGACAATACACGACCAAGAAACGACAAAGTTTTCCCGCGATCGTCCGCGTCCAGTTGCCTGATTCACTGGGCTCTCGTGTAGGGCCTCCACACTGGAGTATGCTTATATTATCAGATCCACAGAACAGGTGCCATCGTTGCCTTTCCTAGTTAGTACCCTCCGGTTCTGCGGAGTGTTTTCCAGTACCGAGACAAGGTACTTGAATAAGATTATCAATCTCATCTTATCAATCGTTCACATATTTAAGGTGTAAGCCAACATCATGACGTTGATTTTTTCCTCAAGCTCTTGGTTGAGTGTCTTGCCATTCCTTTCTTTGCATCGTCATCCGGCATCATGAAGTTCATTACTCTGAGCTCCGCGCTTCTGGCGCTGGGCGAGACGGCCGCCGCTCGCATGTACGCCCGCGACAATGCCACGACCACCCGCAACACCACCTACGACTACATTGTCGCTGGAGGTGGAACCGCTGGTATTGTCGCAGCTGAGAAGCTCGCCAACTCCGGCCGCAGCGTTCTCCTGCTTGAGCGTGGTGGACGTTCCTTCTACATGACCGGCAACAACAAGACGATGCCATGGAACAGCACCGTCACCATGTACGATGTTCCCGGCATGGCCGACCACACCGGTGCCTCCCCCGATCTGCAGTACTGCAGAGATCTTGCCATTGCGGCGGGATGCCTCCTCGGTGGCTCGACCATGCTCAACGCGCTCATGTTCGTCAGGCCCCGCGCCGCGGACTTCGCGTCTTGGCCCGAGGAGTGGCACTGGGAGAACGGCATCGCCGATGCGGCCGCCGAGTTCTACGAGCGCCTTCCCGGTACCACCTTGGCTTCGGAGGACGGCAAGCGCTACGATGACGGCGCTTTCGAGATCATGTCTCGCTTCTTGGATGCCAACGGCTGGAGCGAGCAGGATGCCCTGAACGATGTTGAGGCTAAGGAGTTGATGTACTCTCACCCTCCCTGGTCGGTAAGTAACGACATTATTCCCAAAGTCCCAGCCCAATCTAACACTATTTAGATCGCCCACGGCCTCCGTGACAGCCCCGTTCGCGCTATCCTCCCTGACGCCGAGGCCCTCTCCAACTTCCACCTCGAGCTTAACACCAAGGTCCTCCGTGCCATCCGTGAGGGTGGCCTGGTTACCGGCATTGAGGTCGAGCACGACAGCGGTGCCCGCGAGATTATCAACCTGGCCAAGGGCGGATCCCTGGTCCTGGCCGCCGGCTCCCACTCCACTCCCCGTGTCCTCTTCAACTCCGGCATCGGCCCTGCCGCCCAGATCGAGATTGTTGCTTCCGGCAACACCAACATCCAGCTTCCTCCTAAGGAGCAGTGGATTGAGCTTCCCGTCGGCGAGAACCTCAAGGACCATGCCATCGCTACCGTCACCTTCACCACCAAGGACAAGCTTGTTGCCCTCCCCAGCACTGCTTGGACCAGCCCCGACCAGACCTCCATCGACCTCTTCGCCCAAGGCAGCGGTCTCATGGCTCAGTCTGGCCAGCGCCTGAACTTCTGGACTTCCGTCAACACCACTGATGGCGCTACCCGTCACATCCAGGGTACCGTTCGTGCTGATGCCAACAACACCATTGGTGTCAAGGTCTATCTCACCCACGGTACCACTTCCGTCGGCACCGTCGAGATCACGCCTGAGGGAGCTACCAACATGACCCAGAAGCCTCTCCTGCACACCGAGGGTGATGTTGAGGCTCTGACTACCATAGTTGACACTCTCCTCCAGTACGCCCGCAAGCCTGACAGCATCCTGAGTGTTCCTGAGAACGCCACTGCCGAGGCTCTTGTTGCTGCGGCTGGTAGCGGTAGCCACTACCTTGGCACCACCCAGATGGGCTCTTCTAACGACGGCAAGAGCGTTGTCGACCCTGACACCAAGGTTTGGGGTACTGAGAACTTGTTCGTCGTTGATGGAAGCATGCACCCCGAGGTTCCTACCGGTAACACTCAGGCTCCCATCATGGTCGCCGCTGCATATGCTGCTAAGAGAATTCTGGCCCTAAAGGCCTAGTCCGATGCTTTGAGGGGGGCAACAGGGGAGACAAAGGCATCCAGACAATTATAGAACCAAACTCATTTATTTGATGCATATCAACTTGACGTACACACATTCGACTTACTCCATTTCATCGGAACCGTGGCCAGTACTCGTGACATGTAATGCAGAAGACGACCATCGAGTGATTCTGGTTCAAAGCATTATCCACACGATGGACAACTCGGTGTGGTATTACAGGACATTCCTGAGTCGCCACATTGACACTATCAAGTTAAAGACTTTCAATCCTTCATGTTGTAGGCTGGGAGATAATGAACTCACACACGTCCAAAACCAAACGTAATTATACTTATTCTTGCTCCCACGAACTTTAACTTGTTGAAGCGGGCAACTGGTACAGCGAAGATGTCCAGACCATCGAGTGGAAGTACGTGGCTGAGACCTCGCCGGTTGGCTTACTTTTCGCAAGACAGGATCAGTCATTCCGAAAGGATTGTCTGCTCCAAAGTAGGCCGTTGAAGTTGTAGTTATGTTTTGGGTGGCCACTGTTGATGTTTTCACGCCCAAGGCTGTCGTTGCCTTGGCTTGCTTGGGAGACTTCGGCCGCTCGCCTTCCGCCTTCAATCTTCCAGTGGTAAGCTTCGACGGGCTTTGAGTCTCGTTGTGTTCTTTGCTTGTCTTGGAATTCTGGTTCTCCGAGTTCGACGATGTCTCCAAAGTATTGTGCCCGAGGAAAGTACGGCGGCACTGTGGGCATTCCAAGCATGCCTCCTCTTCCGTCCAGGTCAAACCACACGCGGAACATTTTGATGATCGAGGGCTCTTTTCCTCAAGAGACTCCAATTCTGATTCCTCTGACACATTGTCTAGCGGTAAATCTGATTTGACTTCCAGTCCTGCGGTGTAGAGTGGTAGTGATTCGACAGCGATCTGCTGAAGATGATGCGCTAAGTGACGAAAGAACCCCTTGCTCCTGTTTGTTTGAATGGCGCCTGGTTCCCATAAGTCGCAGAATGGACATGAATGGCGACCGAAGTCAAGCTTTGGCCTTTCACATGCTCCTGCTATGAACGGAAATTGGCTTTCGGTT